CCTTGCGTCAAATCAACAAAAACAAGAACCAAGCTATAAAACATATTATAATATCAAGCTACAAAAACTGAACGTTACAGAAAAGGTGAAACATAAATCTTCATCAAAGAAACATTGATATTACACTCAATTATGCCGTCCAAATTATAATAAATCTCCAAAATAATGCCCCAAAGTTGTAAGTGCTACTTCAGGTGATCGTTACGTTACATTTAGCCACGGGGCAAATGCAATCTTCATTAAGTTATATATATTCTTATTTTCATAGAGTGGTTTAACATTTTGAACTTATAAACTGGGTCATATAACGCGACCTTTTAAAGAACTGAATTGTGCAGTCGGATTATTTATAACCACAGCATCTTTAGCCAACCAAACCGCCCCGTGGCGGTGTGGTTGACTATTGCCTAGTTCTACCCCTAACTAAGGGTAAGCTCCGAGACCCCACGGTGGGAACGTATAGTTATCTGATGATGGCTTCCTAACCCTTTTTGTCTTACACGGCTGTCTAATTTTAAAATCAGAATATCGCCGTTAAAACATAATTGCCACGTTAAGCAATTACAAAATACAAAATAAATTTATATAAGTAGAAATTTGGGCAATTGAACTAACGTCTTATGATGATTACGACTAGTAGCTATAACGTAGTAATGATCTTCTGAACTAATAAATTAAATTTAGTCAGTAACAAATAATAAATCAACGGATAAGAACAATAAATCAAAACGTCAATAAACATCGCAGGCGCATGACAGACTAAATAACTTGAGAGGTATCCAGAAATCTTCCATATTTAACTTTAATCCACTGGGGAATTGCTTTTAATTGGAACAAAAGAAGGAAATACGTTGAACGATTATTGGAATCATTCGGGTCGGAATAGTCATGGGAGATTTCGGCATTTTGTACCATTTCGTCAGCGATTAGACCTCAATCGTGAGGGATCCGTTGCAATTTCGATTGACTGGCAAATTGCGGAATACCAAGGTTTGGCAACATCAAATTGTACCATCTGTCAAAGAGTTGCATACCACTTAAGGTACGGTATCAGATTGTGAATAATAGCGCTATTAGGTGCAACGATTTAGTGGTAAGAGTTACCCATGTCAATTATGTATATTCCGTAAATAATAAGAATTAATTTCTAATTTTATTTTTTGATATCATAGTATTTTTCCTCTTTTACTATATATAATGTTTCGAAAGTGAAAATCATTAACTTAACTTCGTTAGAATTCGAATAAGCAAATCTCATTGTATTTCAAAATACTTTTATAAGTAAGTCTGTAAATATTTCAGTAATCATCACCAACTTAAGAAACTCTTTGCTTTTTGTTCATGTCATGTTGTATAAGTACTTGGATGACCGAGCTTTGTTTGGATTTTTTTTTAATTGTGTTTTATGGAAATTATATTTAAGTACGAATTACTAATAAAATGATGAAATATGAATAATATTTTTCGATCTTACCGATAGAAAAAGTTAAGTTTATGTTTAAGTTGATTATCGATAAAACACGAATAAAATGACATTTTCCAAAAATGATTCCTAGCTAGATCGATTTATCGCCCCCGAAACCACCTATATACTAAATTTCATGAAAATCGTTGGAGCCGATTCCGAGATTCCAATTGTATATATATACAAGAATTGCTCATTTAAAGATATAAGATTATTTAATCATCTTATAAATAATACTAGTATTTAGAACTTAATAAATAATATTAGTAACTTTGATGTAACACGTTTTGAATACGAGTTACAAACCTAAATATTAACTGCCTACTAATTTAATTATACGGAGTGTTATTTATGCTTAATCATTTAATTACTAACTTATCACGAATGCTGAATGGTGTGTGGGAACAATAAAAAATAATAGACACGGACATCTTTATTTGAAATCCAAATATATATTTATAATCGCAACAATCCAAACAAATGGGTAGCAGGATAGTGGTCACATCTGTTATGTTTAACTCATCGTAAGACCTGTAGCGACATCCTGTTTTAACTAAGGACATATTATAGTGCAGCCATTCGCTACTAGATGGCGCTTTATTGATTTGAAGAAAAATGGGGGGGGAGTTAATTTTTATTTATTAACAATGAAAGCAATTTTCTTATAATGACTACATATTTAAAATGCGAAATAAAACATCGTATAAATGCGCTTATTAAAATTCATAATACTAGGTCCTTTTCTGCTTGTGTGCGATGAGTATTCACATGTGCCCACATCCCGCTAAACAGTGAGTCGAGGGTACCAGAGGGGGTTAGTGGGTAGGCTCTTTGTCCCTTTAGGGATGTGGAGAGAGTCCCACATAACCGAAGTGGCTTTCCCCGTGGCACCCGGTATGCGTAACGCATTCCCCCTCTTTCTTCTTAACACGAAGGATTAAAAATAGGGTGGCAGATAACCTAGAAAATACTTTTTATAGAATTTTACACCAAGACGTAATATACTACTAATATTAATCAATGTTTAATCCACATTTATGTCCCCACATTTACATTTGTTACAATATTAATCTAGAAATGACATTATAATTCTGATATTAATATTATAATACAATTAACTAATATACCAAGCTGGTAATATTAAAATACTAAATATTAAAATATTTTATACCACGCTTAAAACAACTGCGTAGTTTTAAAACAAATGATTTAACATAGAAATTCGAATCTTCTTGGAAACTGTTCAAAGCGCAAACTACAATTAGAACATGGACTCATATGTGGTATTACATATATAAAATTAGGTAGAATTGAAAAAAGTCAAATATCATAACAAACATCATGTATAGATCATATTTTTTCGCGGTTACCCACATTTGAAATATGTTGTATTTACCTCAGTTGCGGAAGCAAGATCCTAGTGTATATAGATGTTACTAAACTCAACATTAACTATGAAATTTTAAAACAAGTATTAAATAAAGTTAACTAGCTAGAAACAGTCAATATGAGTTCTCCTCGAGATATTTGTAATTTTATCCACAGTTCTTTTCAGCATGCTATATCGTTAGCTACTTCTTCTAGAACCTATACTAAGAAATTTAGAAACCGCCTTGTTAAAATTATAATATTTAATGAAAGTATTTTATCTAAAATTGAACATCCTGTAAGCAGGCGAGCGATAACTCTAAACCAGTTTCGTACCGTCGGCGCAAAAAATGTATACGGTGAGCGCAATGCAAGTTACATAGTTCCTAGATTGGTGAACGAACTACCCTAAGATTTGATAAAATGTATTTTCCTAAAAAACATAAAGTGCAAGCTCGAAACATTTCTGTCCGGAAGACCTTAACGCTTGTAACAAACTAATGAGGTTTAATTAGAGTTAAATATATGTTTATTTGTATTCAAAATTGTATTCTTAAATAAATAAAAAAAAATCTTAGTAATATTATCATTATTATAATGGCGGTATCACACGATCAGTGACGTCACATGCCACGGGCAACTCTCTAATGGCCGAAAAAACATGTTACGAATGTAGTATACTTAATATGATAAGTCCTGTTTAATGTGTTTAAGCCTTTATTTTTTTTTGTTTAAATATCCATTCAGCTAACTACATTTAATATTTTCAGAGTCATATTTGCTTTGAACTTATTAAGATTAATCTAAAGAGACGTTATTGTATATAATAAGCAGTACCTGGATGAGCTTTGTTCGGTATTTTTTTGAAAATTGTGTTTTTTGAAAATTATATTTAAGTACGAATTACTAATAAACTGATGTAATATAAATATTATTTATTTGAGACTACTCAAATGGCTCGTTTTTGTTATTTCTCTTCCAAGTTTAGGTTTAAGTTGAGTATCGATAAAACACGAATAAAATGACATTTTATAAAAATGATTCCTAGTTGGATTGATTTATCGCCGTCGAAACCCGCTATGTACTAAATTTTATGAAAATCGTTGGAGCCGATTCCGAGATTCCACTGATATATATAAGAATTGCTCATTTAAAGATATATAAGTAATAAATACAATTTAAATAAGCTCAATACTATATTTTTGTACCTGTTAATACCGTCGGAGTGAACACTTAAGTAGGACACTAGATTCATAAAAAAGTTACTTGTTTTATTGCCTAAGTAAAACCTAACTTAGCTTCTGTTTAATATTTTGATTGATGTCAATATCTCTCTAAAATATTAAAATATAGACTGTAAATATGACCAATACTTTCCGTTGATGTCAAAATCATTTAAAACGGTCTTAAATATCACGGTAATTGATTCTATAAAAGTTGAATAATTAACATAATAATCCACTTGCGTGAATCAATTTTCACATAAAATTCTTTTGAATAAATTATTTAATATTAGTATTAATTAGTAGGCGTTATTAAATTAGCATATTTTAATTAAAATTAATTACATATTATCACCATTTAATTATTACAAGAGTTGGACTACAGTTTCAATTAATCAAACCGTGAAAAAATATATTTAAAATCGGTTTAAAAAATAAAACAAGATATAAATTTCAATATTTTCTTTATGTTATTTCTTTTATATTTAGCCTCCATACAATAATTATATATTTAATTATTTTACATATTTACAATATTATAATTAAGATTCGATTATTTAATGTGTACTCGCGTAATCCTACAGGCGGTACTGGTATGTGGAATCTTAATTAAGTTACATTACTTAACTATAACTTAAATTTTAAAGGTACATCAAAATTCTACTAATTAGATCGACATAGCCAGGAATTTTGGAATGGAACTTATAACTTATATAATACTTTTTGGTAACTATAGTTAGGCCTATTTGAGTTACTATCACAATAAATAAATCTCTAAGAAACATAACAACAACAAACAATAATTTCAGTCTTTTATAGTTGAAAGATCAAGTTATTATTAACTAAGTGAAGTGTACTTTCGAATTGATGAACAAGTAATTGAAAACAATTGAAATTTCAAGAGATATTTTACATAAGAATGAAATTATTAATTAATAGTTTAGAGAAATTCTTTGGCTATATTATATTAAAAGTTACAGTAACAGAATGCCTCTATTTCTTTGCTGTTTTCACATCTTGTGATATTCGATAACAAAAGTTCATTGACGTCCATTTACATCGAACTTTAAACCAGTTATCTATATGATAAAATCACTTTCTACAAAGTTTATGTATTACCTAACATTATATTTAACGTTTCATGATATCTTCTATTGAAAAACCTAATGGTCTTTTAGGAGGTTCTGTGGGTGATTGTGAATTTGATGGTGAAGGATGTGCTTGGAATACTTGTACTGGAGGTGATGATGGTTTATGTGAAAGGTCAAGGAGTGGACTCTCAGCAACTTGACTCGTTGATGATACTTCTTGACAACCCTCGAGGTGCTCCAAGTGATGTTTGTTTGCATCACTGTGTGTTAACAGATGAGTCTTCAGGTTAGATCTTTGGTTGAAACTTTTGCTGCAAACTGGGCATTTGTGGGGAGACTCTTCCATGTGAAGAATCTTATGAACCGCTAATGTCCTCGATTGACAGAAACCTTTTCCACATTCTGTACATTTAAATGGCTTCTCTTTTGAATGAATATACCTGGAAAGATGAAAAAATAAAAATAAATATAATGTCGAAATTGTGTACAAATAAAGTTAACGAAACCAAATAAGTCGACTTTAATGGATTTGAAGTTATACGTGTTTCGAATGGAATTAAGGCATTTCCACATTAAGCGCATTAGGCAGTGGGTATAATTTGAAAGGAAAAAAAATGAGTGTGTCTCGTAAAAGCGAAGAAATATAAGGTGTAATTTGTTCGAAGACGGAGCGAGATAGATACGACGATCGTAACCAACATAACCGGTCGAAGCGCGTGCGCTGCGCCGACGCGACCTCACAAAAACTTTTACACTTTTGTTTTTTTATATACTTTTACCAACAAAGCCTTAGTGAAATAAGCCTTTAACCCACTTAGTATTAGAGAGATTGGTGATTACAATTTAAATGTGCAAATGTTAATTTATCAATGCTTGTAGGTCATTAAGAAATTGATAAATTACTCAAATTACTAACATCAAAAGTCCGAAAAATCCAATAATTTAGCAAATTTATAGTATGTGATAGCTATTTACTTAACAGAGACGAATTAGATCATAAATTTACTTGATATTATTAAGACTTATCAACAATAATAATGGACTATAAAAATGCCTTAGTAACTTGAACTCACCTATGGTCTCGTAAATGGTCCTGTCTTCTGAAAGCTTTTCCGCAGATATCGCACGAATAAGGTCTCTCGTCCGTGTGGGTCCTCTCATGAATCAGTAGATTGTAGGATTTGGTGAACTGCCGATTGCAGTATTTGCAGATAAATTGCTTCTTAGGCCTCGCGCCGGGCACGCCTGGCGCTCGCATTGGTGGTGGATTTCTTCCTGGTAGCCTGTGCGCCATCGCTCCTGGGTATCTTAGCGTGTGATGGTACAAGGCTGCATTTCTGATCCATTGGTTGACGAGCATAGCATGGTAGGGGGCTGTAGGTGGTAAGGTGGCGACTTGAGCTTGCATGTATGCTGACATCGGATGGGAGTAAGGCTGCGGCGCTTTGTCGTAAGGGTACTGGGTCTGCATGGTGGTCGCGGGGCGCGGGTAGGTTGCGTATGCCGGTGGCCAAGCTGGTTGGTGTCGCGATATAACGACGGCGGGCGGTGTGTCGTCGGTGGGCGTACGCGGCGGCGTCGGCAGCGGCGGCGACGGCCGCTCCAGCTTCACCAGCGCCTCCAGCGGGAAGTCAGCTGGATAGCCTGCAAAAACATACAATATAAGCATAACGAAATACAGATCAAGTTGAAACTAAAAAAATATTAAATCCTACTTTTTGTTTGTATTATAAATGCGAAAGTTTAGATGTTTGTATCTCCAAAACGGCTTAACGCATCTCCATGAAATTTGACACAGATATAGAACATAGTCCGGTAGAACTTACATGCTACTAAGTTTTTTTTTTTAAATTCTACAATAAATAAATATAATAGTCTTAAAGCACTGTTTAATAGCTCAATAATTTAACGCTAGTCTCATTTAAGTAAATTAAAACATTTTTTTATCGATACAAACAAACAAACATGAAAAAGAAAGAATTTTGATACTTACTGTGATTTATTTCAATATGCTCGTCTTCTTCTTCTTCGATATTAATATCGTCAGAACTATCAACACTGTAAGGTTTGTCTTCCATATCCAGAACGGAACAATCCATCGGAACTGCACACAACAACACCGAACTCTGCACTTTGGTATATCAACACTGTGCCTATCGTCACCGCCAAACCAGTTTGTGAACTGACAACCGGTCGAGGTGAGCGCGCGGAGCGTTATGAGCCTGTGTGCGTTCGCTATCAGGGCCCGCGCAGGCGCGTGGCGCGGAGGGAGGACATCAAAGGCACCGCGCCGGTCGGCGCTTGTGTCGGCTCCCGAAGAGGCCGGGCGCCGCCCACGGGGCGGGGCTTCCGCTGCTCGGCCTTCGGTATCGATCTGTAACAATCGCAAATCGACTTAACCACCCCTCTGCTAACTATAACAAGGTTCTACCGTTCCGAACCTCGACTTACAATTGGAACCCTCTCGAAGTGGTAATTTAAGTGTTGTCTCGCTTTAGTACTGTGCTCGGTTAATGCCATGCAAATTTTTGGTGACAGAGAGTCCCCCAGTGAAGCTATTAGGTGAGCAGATTGCTTTAGTAATTGCGTCTCGTAGGCAACTCTTTATACTGAATTTAATGCCTTTGTCCGGACTCTCTTTGTAATTTGTCGTGATAGATATAACTAACCTACTATAGCTTTACATTATTAATAAAAAAACCAATGTTTTCATTTTGTTTCTATGAAAGTAAAACCTGAATAATATAAATTTATTTAACATAGTATGTAAACTAGTTACGTGTATCTGTTTCAACTAGTTCTAAATATTTATGAACTTTAGCCTGTTTTCTTTCTATTTTCAGCATTCGTAGAAAGTTAAAATATTGTTTCATTTTAACACAAAGTTACGTTCCACTAATCTTTTACATTCCATTTTTTTGTCTACGCTTTCAATTGTTATTGACCTAAACAATTGAATAAGTTTAAAGGTGATCACAATAGAGGTCAATGAAAGACGATAATTTTTTTTTGTCAAACACTTTTGTGAATAATTCGCAGAATTGTTCTCGCGTAAATGTTGTTTACAAAAGTATAAGTATATTATAAAAATGTCGGCAAATCTTCAAAGTGAAGTGCAAATTATTTTTAGTAAAGACATTACAGGGATATATCAGTGCAAAAATTCAAATGTTTATCATCATCAACCTACCCTTATCCCTATTAAGGGTCGGCACAGTATGTACTACTCCTCTATACATCTCTATCAGCTGTCATCTCCGAATCTACTCTCTTCCTACGCATATACTCTTTCACACAGTCATTCCATACTTTTTTGGTCTTCCTCTACCTTTATAGCCTTTCAAAAATTAAAATGTTTATATGGAAAGTGATGTTTTTCTATAATTATGTATATTTATCTTATATTAAGTATAAAACCAAGTCATTCTTCTAAATGTTATGTGAGAAACATGAATTGAGTACAAATAGGTACTTTCCACCATTCATTCTTGAGAGTTGTTTTTATCATGTTGTATGTGTCATACGTTCACTTATTAATATGAATTCAACAAATCTAATTATAGTTTCACTAACGACACTTTTCCCGCAACTTGGTCTTCGCAGAATTAAAAAAAATAATAAAATGTATCTCATGTTACTCGAGACTATATTCTATATATGTGCCTTTCAATATGATGTGTTGAACCGTTTCGAAGTTATCAAGTAAATTTTCAAAATTAAACAAAAGGCTGTCATTGGAACAACACAATGGTCATTGATGACAATTGTACAAACACATTGTGTGACGTGTGCCAGAGTGCGGTGTGTGTGTCGTGTAGTGCGCAAACATCGGTCAGGTGAGCGCGGTCAGGCGCGTGTCGGCACCCTTTGTACCGACATCAAAGGCACCGACGCAAACACTAGCGAACACAACATCCTAACATATTGCAGTGTACGCGAATATGTTCTTTACTCACCTGTGGTTAGAATACTTAAATGTTAGATCGTTTTGTTACATTATTGTTTTAGTGAAGATCGCCGGCTGTGCCACTAGATACCTTGTTATGTCTAGCAGTTAGCTTGTTGAAAGTTAAGGTATTGTTTAAACAACGGCGACGAAGACTATATACTCAATTGACTGACCTACGTCGAGCAATATAAAATAACGACTACATCTAGTGATTTAAAGAAACAAGAAGGTATTAAACATTGTAATGATAAACAAAATCCCACGTAGCTTTTTTCTTTTTATCTGTTTTCATTTGTTTTTTATGTTCAATTTTGATCACAAATGCATAAGCTCTTAGTAAACTATTTCTAAATGAAAGATGCGATCTCGCTTGCGGAGTAGATGCTTATATTTAAACTACTCAGCTACATTAGTGCTTCAGAATAATTTATTATTTTCCCGATCAAGTGTATATATAAACACGATAATTGATACATTTTATTCATCTTCAAAATTAATCGATGTAAACAATACTATTTATTTTATGTTTACTATAAGTTCTGGTTTTGTAATATTAAATGATTTGTCCAATTTCTTTTATTTATACATAGATATCGCCCGCGAGTCCGTCCGCGCAGAATAAAAAAAAACCTTAATTAATAGCCTATGTGTTCTACATCTATGCCAAATTTCAGCGAAACCCATGCAGCCATTCTAAAGATACTTTCGAACAAACATCCGTCCATCTATCCGAACATTTGCATTTATAATATTAGTAAGATGAACTATGTATACGTACTACACCAATGTGTTAAAATGGCAGCGATTAGGGAGGAGTGGCGGCACCTTGTAAAGCGTTTCACTGATAACTGATGACCACGACCAGTCTGAAAAGAATGCAGGGACAAAGAAGAATATATACGTAGATCGGAATAAGACAAATATCTATCTATATTTATAAAATAAAGTCGTGTTAGTTACACTATTTATAACTCAATAACGGCTTTACCGATATGGCTGGAAATTGGTGAGGAGGTAGCCTAGAGCCAAGAGACGGACATAGTACACTATTTATTCTTTTTTTTCGAATTTAGGATTTGAAGAGCTGCTTTTTATTTAACTTACTAATATTATAAATGCCAATGTTTAGATGGATGTGATGTGGATGGATGGATAGGTGTTTGAAGATATATATACAACAGCTGAACGGATCTCGATTAAATTTGGCATACGTATAGAACATAATCTGAAAAAACACATAGGCTACACTAATTAAGTTTTTTTATATATCCACGCGGACGGAGTCGCGGGCTACAGCTAGTGTAACATAATTAATGATGTAAATAACTCCACTTAATTTTCGACATTGATGTTAGAGTCCTCTTATTAAGCTCAAGTTTACTCGTAACTCCAATCACATAAGCATCTCTTAGTATTTGTATTTTATAAACAGTTAATTACTATACTTGGCGGCGCCATTGTCGGCAAAATAAAAGAGAAAGATAATTAAAAGTGCTTTTGGTTATTGCATCAAGTCGATAAAATTATTTGGAACAGTATTCTAGAATTTAGCACAAGTTAAGTCTTAAAAACTTGAATGCATTCCTTCGAATTTAAGTCGAAAACCTTTTAATTTGAACTGTCAAAAATACATGCTCACTCCATTAAAAAAAAAACACAAAAGTTTAATTTTATTTAAAACTAACTGTCGCCCGCAACTCCGACCGCGTGGTATTAAAAATAAACTTAATTAATAGCCTACATGTTCTTTCATACTATGTTCTACATCTGTGCCAAATTTCATCAAGATCCGTCAAACCGTTCTAGAGATAGCTTCAAACAAAGATCCATCCATCTAAACGTTCGCATTTATAATATTAGTATGAAGTAAATGACATTTGAATAGAATGAAGCTTTTGAAACTCTTCTCTCTGATCTTCTGTAAATTAATATAATATATAATTAAGACCACGACCACACAGAAGACAGGCGTCAAGTGGAAGCAATTCCGCGTTTCGTCTGATGAGTGTGCGTCCCGGAGGCCTAATTTAGTCCTCTTTTCCTTCCCATTCTTTTCTTTATAAGGAAAGGATGGGAAGTGGACTTTCCGGATGAGAGGATGCATGGGAAGGGAAGATATTTTCTTTCTGTGCATCCTCTCCTCCGTCGATTCAAGGTAGGCAACGCATATGCAATTGCGTATGACTATGGGCAACGGTTACTTCGCTATTTCAGCGATTTCAGGTGGCCGCTTGGTATGCCACCTTTTGATATAAAAAAAAATTACAAAATAAAGTTTTATAATAAAAACTATTATTACTTAAGTATTAAATTACCAAGAACTTTGATATCTTTAATGTGACTTATAATTTTAAGTTTAATTTACACATACATGATTTAACATAAAAACTGCTAGAAATCTTTTACGGAGGCTCTTATATTATCCGAAACCCAACTAAAATAAATTAAATTTTGTCACATTAATCCGACATAAATATTAAATAATATTTACCAACGACTTCTGTGTCAAAGTCACTTTTGTTTACATTACACAAAAAAGCAAATATCTCGTTTTAATACCGGCAAGAAACTGTTTTAAAGCAATAAAAATAATGAAGTTGTCTAGACAATTTACTTTATGGCCCCAAGATATGTTAATCTAAGCCTTGTACTGCTCAAAACGTTAATAACCAGTCTTAGACAACTGTTTGATGAACAGGGAAATACGTCGGATTAATTTAAAGTGTACTTGCTCGGGTTTTTCTTTTCTTATTCGCAATTCTTTTGTTTTTAATTGCCCAATTCATTCCTTTGACATTCTAATCAAAACATCGTTGATGTAATGGTTGTAAATTTGGTCGTGTCTTTATAGTCTACGGTCCCTATGTATAGTTAAGTAACTGCAAAAAGCTCACAAATCAATAAACTATTTCTAATCGTAATTTATTTAGAAATCTACACTAAGGGTTATTTTAATGATCAATTAAAGGATCTTCTTTGATGGTAAGAATAAATTATCTCAAACTGAAATTATTATAATTCGTAATTTAAATACTACAAAACTTATATGGAATAACGTATATGAAAATATTAATTGATAATTTCGCATGACTTCATTTTGCCTTTGGAGCATCTGTAATGTAAAATATATTTAAATATAGCATTACATCAAATGAGATCTTAATGAAGTTAAAATCACGAGGGACAAACCTTTGTTCGTTTAAAGCGATGAAGGGTGAAATAAATGAACAACGAAGTTATTCAAATGTATGAAAATTCAT